TAATCATCGGCCGCAAGGCGACCGCGTCAGACGATGTGGTCGTGTGAACTTCCAACTCAGTACCCGGAAGGAGACTGTCAACATATGACAGAATCTGGACCAAAGACGATGTAACAAAACGCTGTGGCGCAACAAACCTGAGAGGTGTCGGAAGCTTCCCTTTGTCATTGTTTGAGAGTAATGAGTACTCTGCTTCTGACGGAAGAACCGGTAAAGCCTCTGAATTGCGGTCTGATCGCAAACACAACGCGCACAGTGTTCCATCATCGAAATCCTCAAAGATATCCGAACAAGTAAGATTGTCGGAGATCTGATCGTACATCACCCACAAGACACTGCGAAAGCAGCACAGCAAACCTTGGATCAAGTGCGTTAGCAGAGTCATAGCCTTCTTCCAACGACTCCAAACGGCCAAATGATCCATCAGGCAAATTAGTGAGAAAAGAAAGCTCACCATGCTGATGCTTACTGTGGTCATCTGCCCCTGAAGGAAGTACACCACGGTTCTTGAAGGTGTGGAATGAAAGTCCTCTTCTCCACTTCAGCGAGCGACTACTCTGCGAAAGCCAAAAACCACAATGAGAAGGATACATGATGGTCACGAAGTATCCATCACCCTTGTCATCTTGCCAACGGCAGACTCCGGCACAAAAGTGCCAGAAGGCATTGGCGGCCTTCCTGGGCCAACCGTCAGGAATGACAGGATGAATAAAAATGTGATTAGGCTCTGCCTTCAAGATCACTTGCCAAGCAGCCTCAATCGAAGATTGGATAGACTTGGCGTTCCATTCACCAAACAACACAGGTTCACTCGCATCAAGTCCAGAATGGACTGTGCACGCAGTAAGCCCGGTGAGGCGAGGTGTGATCTCAACGAAATCGCTCTTGCCTGAAGTGAGAGTGTGGTAACAGATCTCATGCTCATAGCAGAACCCAGAACCGGCACGATCAAGAATATCGTCGCCGATGCGGTCGAGTGCCTCTTCCTGAGAAGAGCGTCTCGGGACCTCATCTTTCTTCAGAGGAATGGCCACATCATGCCACGGATCTCCATCACGCCTGACCTTCGACTGATTAACCCGAAGAACGGCACGATGAACTTCAACCAACACCATGGCACCTTCCTGTGACACAACTATGCCTCTGACCCAGGTTCCTTCAGACTTCTTCTTCGACTCATCCTTATGCCAAACGAACACGCGGTCACCCTTCGAATAAGGACCATCAGACGGCATGACTCTTCGTGCAAGGTCCTTCCGAAGGTCGAGTGATTGTCTGGCCTCTTGATGAGCCTGCATGGCAATCCTCTGAAGTTCCAGAGTGGTTCGATCCTCCTCGGCAGGTTCAGCAGAGAGCTGTTCAGGAGAACTGTTCTCAACATCAAACAAGTCTGGTCTCCAAAGGAGAATAGCCTGAGACAGTAAGCTGGCAATTCCTTGCCCATGCCACTTTCTTGACTGCTTGACGAACAGTCACCTTTTCTGCATAACCTTCCTCAGCTAAGGCCTTTGCCATAATGGCCCACGTGCGCTTGAAAAGACGCACTGCGGTCTCAGCTCGATTAGGCCAAGGAGTTCGCGGTCCACATGGATATGGAGTAATGCCATGGAACTTGTAATAGGACATGAACTGTGGCGTGAAAAATGCTTGATCTCCTACGATTCCCTCAGGAACGCAGTTGTTCTCCTCTGTCCATTGTCGGAAAGCTCCCAGAGTCTCTGGCGCTTCCAGGCTTGTGAGAGCCGTAGCCCACAGGAGATTTGACGCACCATCAATGATGACCAAAGCTAAGTAGGCTTTAGTACCGAACTTGATTTCTTCGTGATCAACAAAAATGAGATCACCGAAGGATGATGCTCTCAATCCTGCGATTCTGGCTCGCGGAGGCGTAGGCACTGAGGTGCTGCAAACACGACAGCCTTTGACAATGCGGTCGTACTTGTCATAGATCTCTCCTGGCAGACCAAGCATGCTGGTCCTGCGTCGAAACTGAGCAGGACTCATGTGGTAATGCTTCACATGCAACTTGTAAAGCTCAACATCATTGTTCAGCTTTTCCAACATGCGCTGATACTGCGGAGAAGCCCTTGAGACCTCGTGGCCTGGCAACGGAAGCGCGATCCTCCTAGGTTCTAGCGACTGTGGCTCTGGGGCCCTCGGAGGAAGCAAATCTGCATCCCCCGGATCATCTTCAGGAGCAGGAGGAGAAGGAGCCGGTTCCTTGGGTTCCTTTCCCTGTGGAAAGCTTCCCTTGGCTCGAATTCTTCTTCTCTCCGGTACCTTTCCCTGAGGAAAGCTTCCGGATGCTCCTGTGTTCTTCGAGCTGTCTTCAGGTTTGCCTGCGCTAACCATATCCTCTGGAGATCCTACCTTGCCACGGGTTGGATCCTTGGTCTTAGCTGGCACCGAGGTTCTACTCTCGATGCCACCAGGCAGAATCTTGAAAATGGTCTTGCCTTTCCAAGAGTCAGTAGTTCTTGTTGAAGAAAGCTCAGAAGAACGCCAGTCATCTTCTTGAGTTACGCTCTTTCCCTTGGAGAACTCCATGATCGTCTTGCGCTTGGTGTCCAGATACTCCAACGGAATAGGCACAAAACCCGCCTTGGGTTCGTACTTGACCCTTCTCATCTTCTTGTGGATGCGAATCATCTCCATGTCAGCTTCATTGTTCACCCACTCCTCATCCGTCGCCAAGGCGAGATTCTTGGGTACCTCTTCCTGTGAAGAGCATCCCTCGGTCTTCTGGTGGAAGCCGTACTCGTAGTGGGAGAAGTAGGTGAGGAAGCTCGACTTCTTATGTTTGCTGAACCGCACATTCCACATCAACTGACTGAGTTCAAGAAGGTCAAGTACCAGGTGTGAGCTCGGTGCAACCTTCAGCCTCACATCCTTGATTCCCAGCACAGGGCTGCTGAGCAAGGCCTTTTCCGGATGGAGCTCGAACTGGAAACGAAGATTACGCATCTGTGGTAAGGACATGAGAATGGGAACATGCCCTTGTTCCACAATGTCGAACTCTGTGGATTGAACTGCAAAGTCCCGGTCGTACATGCAAATGACCAACTTCTGGTTGCATTTGGTCGACTCGGAATTGGCAAAGGTAAACTGAGAAGTGGTCTCAGCAGTGGTGTACCATATGCCACAGTTCTAGTTCTTGTCACAGAACTCCATGAGGTCCTGTGCGGCCACTCTCGAAGCCATTGCTCTCGTACATCCCAAGTCCACACCATCGCGGTTGGCGTCAAGGGCTGAGAGATGAAGGCTTCCTCGATCTCATTGATCTTCTCTTCGGTGGCCATGAAAGAAAAGTTCGGAGTGTTGAGATGTTCAACGAAGAAGGTTGTGGCGGCTGTGGTGCGGCTCGGGGCAGCATCAGCAAGCTGGCTCTGTCCGTCCTTTCCGGACTTTCCATCTTTTCCATCCTTGCCAAACTTGCTCTTTCCTTTGCCCTTCTTTCCTTTCTTTCCTTTTCCTTTGGCTGCATAGGATTCCTCAGACTCGTACCAGGACCAGTCATCCCAGGACTGGTCGTTCCACTGGTAATCTTGCCATTGTCTTTCTGCTTGCCATGCTTCTGATTCTTCGGCAAGATGTGACCTGCCTTTCTTCCTTTTGAAGAAGCGCCTTCCTTTGGATCCTTTGCCACCTTTTCCCCTGCCTTTGCGGTGGCCCTTGAATCCGCGCCTCATCTTGCGGCCTTGGAAACGCCGCTGGAACCATGAGTAGTTCTCGTCGTCGTAGACCCAGAAGGCGTCCTCATCCGCTTCGAGAAAACCTTCCGTGCCATCCTCCTCGTCCTCGACCCAGTAGCCTTCGTGATTGTCCAGAAATCCTTCGTCGGTCACAAGGAACGTCTTACGGCCACCGTGGCCCGAAGGAGCGAGGAGTGGGTTGTCGACGGTAGTCTTGGTCGTGCAGAAGATCTCCAGGTAGACTTCACGCAGCTCGGCCGTGTTGTAGTCAGCCAGAACTCGGTTCCGATGTGCCATCAGTGATGTCAACACCTGCCGCTGATCCTGTGTCAGATCAGACCGGGACACAAAGATCAAGGCGACCAGGTTGGGCGTGATCGGAATGGTCCGAGCATGCTGCTCTCTGAGCCGTTCGTTGGCTCTATCCATTGCCTGAGCTGGCGTAATGTCTGCTTGTTCTTCTGGAGGAAGTCCTGCTATGAAAGCTCTGACCTCTGCATTGTTCGGGTCCTCGATCGGCAGATAGGTGTCGTTCCACGCTTCTTGCATTCTCTGAACAGAGAGTTGAAACCTGGGTTCGTCAAAAAACCCAGTCACGGATTCCTATCCCTATTTGAAACCTTATCGTTTTTTTATTCCTTATCGTTTTACAAGCTCTGGGCCATGTTTATACACATACATGTACATATGTGTGTATTTATGTATATGTGCGTGTACGTTACATTGAGTGCTGAAGTCCTACAAGCAAGGGTAGGGTCGCCAGGGGGAGGTGATTGTGGCAGCAGCAATGACAGGGAGAAGGAGCTTTCGGTTCGAGATGGGATGTTTTACGGCGGTGCGTGGTGTTGACAAAGACGGCTTCAAAAGCTTCAAAACAAAAAAAAGCACGGAAAGGAGAGCCCGGAGTCGAGAGGGGGGATCGGAGGGCAGCCAGAACCTCGGGAGACGAGAGAAGGAAAGGTAGAGATTAGGGCCTCGAGGCTGTATTTTTTTTGAATCTCTTTCATTCATACATATATCTACACACTTCGTCTATGCGTGCTGCTCACAAGCAGCCCTTCTCCGCTTCGAAACCCGCAAAGTTCTCGGTTGCTGTTTCCTACTACCACCAAAGATGCGCAGCAGAGGCTGTTGCGCGGGGGCTTTGCAGCGGCATGCAAGAGTGTGTAAAGGCAATTGCGAGGTCGTCAGGGCTTAAGTTGCTTGGAAGCCTAGAGCCTTTCAAGAATCAAAACCTGCCTATGTCGGGCTCCAAAGGATCCTCCATTCTGCGCACACCTTCTTTTCACCAATCTCGGAGCTCTCTCCTCATGCATCGGACGTCTCTGAATCTGAAGTCGAGGACGACGACGTTGAGGAAGAGCTCCCGGACTGTGCGTCCTCGCCAGCGGCAGCCTGGCGCAGATACTGCAGCTTGTTCTGCAGCCGGCGAGAATTGCGCAAGTGCCGTCGCTCGACACGTGCCACCTTCTGCGCGAGGCTGCGATGGTAAAACATCCCATGCGGCGCCCTGCAGCGATGCTGCGCTTCCCAGACTCTGACCAAGTGATGAGAGTCTGCCTTCTCCAATGAAGGTGGGCCCTCCTCCCAATCGCGCGGTCCCTCCAGGTACGTCCTGCGCCAGTTCTCATCACCATCGCTGTGCATCACCTCTAGGCGCCAGTCACTCACGGGAATGCGCGCTCCACCGGTGAAAATGCAGTTGTGCACCTGTGGCCGTGCGCCTGCACGATTTGGCGGCGGACGCGGTACAATTTCAAGGGAGTAAGTCCTTGTGAGCTTTAAAGACTTCGCGTAGAAGAACTCCTGCTTGGCTGGCTTCGGGTCACTGAAGGACAGCTTCTTGATGACCCATGTGGCATTGTTTGCGGCAAAGCCGGCTGCGTGCTTGGCTCCGTGCTGCAAGGCTGTCACGAGGTCGTCAATGGTGAAGATGTTGTGGGACCGCGCATATTTAGCGACCCACCCCTCGCCTTTGTCTGAGGCAACTCCAAACATTGCGTCTAGTAGGCCCTTCCCATGTTGCTCCCCCAAAAAATCAAGATGTATCTCCTGGGATCGCTGCGCGGCAAGCTCCTGGGTACATGCTACCACTTCCGCTGCCCTAAAGTGCGGGCCTGTGTCTGACCAAAACCTCAAAACTCCTGTTTGAGGCACTGAGCAGTCTTGCAAGCACTCGCGCAGATACAAGCCTGATGCCTGGGCAGTTTGTTCCAGGACGTCACTGAGGTACAGTACATACGTAGTTGACAGGGTGCTGTTACCAGGCGTCGAGTCTGGGCGGTGTCTGATTACCTTGGCATTTGATTGCTGGCTTCCGAGTGCTTCGTGACAACACAGAGTACCGGGTGCTTGGGCTGTTAGGCAGGGACTTATTGCCACTACAAGAATGCGTTCGGAAGTTCATGCCTCGTAGCTGCCGAAAGAAACCTAAACAAAAGAAGATCATCACGCCAAATCCTTCCAGTCACGCCAAGCATCTGCTGCACCAAAGCACGTCACCTGAAACTTTTGCTGGGCATGCCACATGCTACCGGATTCACTGTGGCTCTGCGGAAGACGGTACTTCTCCTTATAGTCAAAGGTGCAGACGGTGTCAGGCAGCGGGAGTTCAGACTTCGTCTCGTGCAACAGTGACTGCAGTGCATCATGTTGCCGCAGTGCGGACATTTTGTGCCACTGGTACGCTGTCAGAAGCTTCTGCCACTTCTGCAAGTCTACCTCCAAAGGGGCTTCTATGTCTGTGTACAGCCTTAGCTGCTCCATTTGCGGCAACTGCTCTCGCGCAGAGCGGAACCTTTGATGGTGCGCATGCATGTACTTGTACGTCAAACGGCACTCCTCTGCATAGTCCAAATTCTTTCGTGCTGCGAGCATGCTCTCCTGTGTCTCCAAAGCGCCCCAGTAGGCTGGCAGCACACTAGCAGCCTTTGCCGTGGCCTCCTGTTGAAACTGCTTCCACACAGGAACCAGCTCGTCGAACTTCTTGCAGTGGATGCACAAGTCAGTCCTTCTGGCGGCCACCCTGTACTGAGCAAAGCGTGTGCGCAACAGCTTCTGCCAAGTCTGCCGACTCACGCGCTGCTGCAGTTCAGGTTCCTGTTCATATATCGTGCCTGGTCGGGACAGCAAGGACATGGACGGAACAATCAAGTTGTCTGCTTTCTTGTTGCTGTGTCTGTCGAAGAAACCAGGCTTGTCCTTCCGGGCTGTCACCGTCGCAAGCTTCGTGCCAGTCTTCGAGTGCCTACTCAGCACTGCCTCTGCAAGCTGGAGGAGCTCAGCGTCTTCCATCTTGCTTGGTCGTCCACCCTTGGACACTGCTGTTTCTTCCAAGTTCCGTGCGCGGCGGAAAGCCTTCTCGCCTATGTCGTACCCAAACTTCTGCAAGGTTGCACGGTCAATGCGACCGTCTTCTGTTACGGCCCTGTCCAAGTCAAGGAGGCCGAATGCTTTGCCTTGCAAGCATCCTTTCCGTAGCTCGTTCAAGCGTTTCAGGAAATGCCTTGCTGATAGCATGCTCCAAGAACTACACTCCCTTAACTATCTATGTAAAAGTTCGAACAAGCTCAAAGAATGGCTTCTCGTCAAGTCAAGCTTCTGCTTCTCTAACGGCAAGGCTCTCTCAGTCTTTTCAACACGCAGATCTGGGTGCTGCGCCTTCAGACGTGCCACGAGACGCTGCGTGAAGGAAGACACGGCATCCCCCGTTTTGTGGTGTGCCAAAATGGCACGGGAGACGCTGACCAGCAGTGACTTCTTGCGTCCCGTCCCAGTCGGTGCCTTAGGCTTTCGTTCGCCTGAGGCTTCAGTGCCAGCAAGAGCCTCGGAGCGTTTCCGCTTCTGCTTACTTCGGCGAGTTGGCGGTGGCTGCTGAGGGGCAGCAGTAGCAGCAGCAGATGCTGTGCTGGGTTCACTGGGCCCTGCCGCCGGTCCACTGCTGCCCAACGCCTGCAGGATTGAGGAGCGAGGCTCTGGGTTTTGGACGGAGTGACTTGGCATCGCGGTGATTCCTACCGTTTAGTACTGGCTTTAGATAAAAATGGTCAAGTGTTCACCAAGCACAGATTCTAATCCCAAACCTTATCGTTTGGGTTATCGTTTTGGTTATCATTTAACAGCCACTACCGCCAACCGATTTTTGGGTCCGGATGTAAGCGTAGGGCTTCTTGTTGCTGCAGCGTATTCCTGGGGAGGTGGCTTTCACATACCGAACGCTGCCGAATGCCAGCCTCGTGGAGCTTGCTCGGAACAATCTCTCCCCGCTCAGCCGCCGCCTTTTCTTCAACTGTGAGGCTCTTCCAGTAGCGCCCTTTGATAGCATTGAAAAGCAAAGTTCTCTGCTGACTGGTTAAAGGTGCATGCTTTGCTTCGCCGGGGACCTTCTGCACCACTACAGCGCGGATATCCGCCCACCTGCTTTTGTCATTTTGCAATGCCTTGAGCAGTGCACTCGCCTTGCGCGTGTCCATTCGGTCGGGACACGTCAAGCAACGCAACTATCCATCGCAGACTCAACACTAACGCTGTAGATCTTGCAGAAGACTTGGTGCTTTTAGGGCGTCTGTTTTTTTGATTTCGGTTTGGGGTTCGCGAGGGCTCCATGTTATGGCTTTTCCCTAGGATTACAACTACCCGGAGTGCGCGTGCAAGCTGGAGGCCCGCAAACTCAATACTCAGGCTGTGGATTTTGCAGAAGACTTGGTGCTTTTCGGGCGTCTGCTTTTTTGATTTCGGTTTTCGGGTTCGCGAGGGCTCCGTGTTATGGCTTTTCCCTACGATTACAACTACCTGGAGCGCACTTGCAAGCTGGAGGCCCGCGGACTCAATACTCAGGCTGTGGATTTTGCAGAAGACTTGGTGCTTTTCGGGCGTCTGCTTTTTTGATTTCGGTTTTCGGGTTCGCGAGGGCTCCGTGTTATGGCTTTTCCCTACGATTACAACTACCTGGAGCGCACTTGCAAGCTGGAGGCCCGCGGACTCAATACTCAGGCTGTGGATTTTGCAGAAGACTTGGTGCTTTTCGGGCGTCTGCTTTTTTGATTTCGGTTTTCGGGTTCGCGAGGGCTCCGTGTTATGGCTTTTCCCTACGATTACAACTACCTGGAGCGCACTTGCAAGCTGGAGGCCCGCGGACTCAATACTCAGGCTGTGGATTTTGCAGAAGACTTGGTGCTTTTCGGGCGTCTGCTTTTTTGATTTCGGTTTTCGGGTTCGTGAGGGCTCCGTGTTATGGCTTGCCCTAGGAGTACAACTACCGGGAGTGCGCGTGCAAGCTGGAGGCCTGCAAATTGAATACTCATGCTGATGTAGGTTTTCCGTTCACGCTGCTTTCGCCTGCAAGCTCAGTAGCACCCCGTCCCCGGTAACACCCCTGCTTCAGCGACCCGACTGTTTCGCCGGATACAAGCTTTGAAGCCACGCTAGCCATGCTTAGCAGAGCCAACTCCCCTAAGTTTCTGTACAATCTGAGCAGAAGCAGACGTCGCCACCATACGATCGCAGATGCGTTCGGATGGCAGCGCTCTTACGACGCCACACATCTACCGCACCGTCGACTCTCGAATAACTCTCAAACGAACGACCGGCTTGCAACTTCAAAGCCGCAACCACACAGGCATAACACTGCGTTCCACGCACTACACTACGGTCATGCCTGATTGTGCGGCGGGCTTCTCCCCATTTGACATGGTGCTTGCGAGCTCGGCAAACCAAGCAATGCTCGGTAGCGTTCCGATCGAAATTCTTGCAGAAACGATTCCCGGGCCCAGGAGACTGATTCAAGATGAGGCGCTTCTGCACATCTGTCAGCGACGTGGGACCGTCTACAACATGAACTTGCTTGCCACGCACTCTGCGCGGGATGCCTTCCACACATTTAGGAGGAGTGCTGCACAAAAGAGGCTCAGGCTCAGCCTTTCGCTTCGTGGGCGTGCTCAGGGGCGCCTGCCACGACACGAGCAGACACATCTACATCTACGGGTTTCTCTCTTTGCGCACCACTGAGACCGAGAGGCCGCCTCGGCAGCAGCATCTGTAGCAGTCTTCTCGGTTGGCTCGCTGAGTTCCTACAGCTTCCTACGTCTGGGAAACCCTGCAATGCCATGGCACGCGCACCGCTAAACGGCAGAGAAGCGGCATCTGATGCATCCTTCTCTGGTGACGTGTTCTTCTCGGTCAGCTCGTTGACTTCCTGACGGTGTCTCGGGCTTCGTAGGGCTTCGTAGTTTTGGGATTCGCCTTTTGAAGTTGCCCCTGCCCCAAACCCCAAGCCGTTTAAACTCGAAACAGCAGGCAAGGAGCAGCAACTCGTGAATCCTTCTCGGTCAACTCTTCGTGTTCCTAGGCTTCGCGGAAGATTGGCTAGGCTTTGGGTTTCCATCGCTCGAATGTCTGTAAACTGCAAGCCCTACATATACGTAAACCCTGAACCCTGAACCGCAGCAAGCAGCATCTGGTGAGGTCTTCTGCTCGGTCAGGTCGCTGAGCTCCTGAGTTCGTGAGGCCACTACTGTGTTGCAGTTCGCGAGTTGGCAAACTTGCGTTGTCGAGGTTTCGATGATGCTTTCCTACGAATACGTACGCACATACTGCTGCCGCTTGCACGCTCCAGAGTTCACTACAGTTCACTACTAATGATGCGGATCTTTGAGAAAGGGCTTATCGGGCGTCTGCTACTTTCATTTAGGGTTTTTTACGGGAAACTCGTCATCCCTAGCGGTTTTGCTGCTGTCCCTACACCTCCGCCTACTGTAGAACTTAAAACTCAAACGCGAGGCAAGGGGCAGCCTCGGGCGGTACTTTCTCGATCGGGCGCTTGGAATCCTGACTTCATCGGGATTTCACTGAGAGCACTGCATGGTTTGCGTACACACTTGCTACGCCGCCTGCGCTGCCACAGCACTGGCTCTAGTGGTGGTTGGCATTTCCTGCAAAACTGGCTATCAGAGCTGCACCATGCGTTCGCCCAGAAAGCAACATCACACTGACATCGTCCTGGAGCTTTTTCATTGTCTTCGAGAGACAGGAAGTGAAAGTCCAGCGGCCGCTATGACTCGGTTTTGCAACTACTTCTGACGAAAAGGAGTTGTTGGACCCTGTAGCCATGAATGCTGGCAAAGCACAAGATAGCTATGTGGTGAGAGGCCCTTCGATCGCCGTTCAAGTTGTAGCCATCGCTGTCCTGGGAAGGGCAAGTTCGCTTTTTGGCTCTTCAGCATACGACAGTACATACATAATTACATACATATCTCGACAGATACACAACGCAGTCAGGGCTCGCATTGGCACGTGTGAACCTGCCACTTGCTATTCCACGACGGTGCTTTCATCCGCCCAGTGCCTCAAACGAAATATGAGTTTGATTACAAGCGGCGGTAAAAGGAGGAAAAAGGATGCAGTCACGCCGCAAAGACCAATGCCGCAGTGCTCTGGTGCCGTTGGCAGGGTTGGCATTTCCGAGCTCCCCATTGCAGCAACCCCACTACCGAACGGCTTAAACAGCAGTTGCTGCAAGGGCCGCGCTGATCGTTCCCCCACACAACGATGCGAAAACGTGTTTATTCCTTATCGTTTTACAGCACATCCTCAACATACTGATACATCTTGATACTGAAACCTTATCGTTAATTTTTATTCCTTATCGTTTTACAGTGAATCTATCAAATAGGGCCGCCAGCTCTTAAATCTTTATAACCGGGTTTTTACTCAAACCCACCTGGTAATCCAACGAAGCATGTCTCCGTTCCCGCGGTGCATGTTCATGAACTGCTGAAAGCGGTAGAGAAAGACATTCGCTGCTCCTTTCACGAAGAGCGGCCGCAGGAAACTCTTGAAGTACTTAACTCCGTTGTTCGGGTCCTTCAGGCGATCTCTGTCGACAAGCCTCTTGTGGATTGCTGCTTCACCTTCTAACCGATTCCTCAAAGCTGGTCCACGCTTGTCATTGTCTAGCTCAGTAATGTCACACCAGTCATCGATCGCATCTTCGTAGGCAAACCAACTGCTTCTACCATCATAAGATGGAGGTACCTTGGTGGTCACCTGCTGGAAAGCTGAAAGACGGTGTAGTTCATTGAGATGACGATGATTCGTCGCGTAAGATTCACTGCCGTGAAGGAGGTAGTCTTCATCTCCTCCATCATGCTCAAAGATAGTCGCAGAGTGGCTAGCCATCGCGCTGTTCTTGGATCGAGCCCCGGGAGAAAACTCTTCCGGTTATCTTCACCTGAGTGAAGTGTGCCGGAGAGACTCCGGTCACCTTCACCTGAGTGAAGCACACCGGGTATTCCGGTTGCCTCCACCTGTGTAGAGAGTACCGAACGGGTACCTCCACAAGTGTGAAGCTTCCCGTTTCCCGGGAGCTCCGCTACCACGTTGAGATGTAACCTGGACGTGTATCCCCTCGCTAGGCGTACAGGAACACAGGCACTCAGGTGTCTCTTTTGCTACAGGCGCACAGCTGTAGTCCACTGCACTAGAACCTTGAGCAACAGGCATGGATACATGCAAGTGATACGTGAAACAGACAGGCACCTGGATGTGTAACATTCAGTGTTCACCCCCCCCACCCCACCTCCCCCCCCTCCCGCCCCCCCCACTCCCCCTTCCCTCCCGCCCCTCCTCCGCTCGCTGACAGGTGCGAGCTTTCTGGAGTTTTCGACGACACGGGACTGCAATGTAGCATCTTTATGTGCGTCTCAGGCTTGTTTTAGACGCCCTTTCGTTGGGATAGGCGGAGTAACGTGGTTGAAAAGGCTGTGATGCTTCCCTAATCCAAGACGCCCACGAAATCCACAGCCTCAACGGCCCATACTTAAGGCATCCCGCCGCTTGCGAGAGTCTTGGTATCCAGTGTTTCGGAATGACGACACCAAAATTCGTACTGATACTACCACTACTAATACTACTCACAATCATCCTGCTTCGTGTTGCTATGAACATTACTTTTACTATAAGTGCGATTCCAACTGTTACTTTTTTCCTACAAGAGCTTGCTGCAGATAGTAGCCACTCGCCGCATGCGCGTACAGCCGGGCCGAGGCGGACGACGCACAGCGTTTCAAATTACTTTGTCAGGGAGAAAAACGGTGTTTCAGCCCTCTTTCAGGCAAAACAAAATTATTGATTGAAACTCAGAAATTGATACGCATATCGACGAATAAAAAATTTAGGGAAACAAAAAAACTTTATTAAAGTCAACCCCCCGGGCCCAAAAAGATTCATATGGCTTTACTAAATCAGGTAGCTATAGGTTTGATCACTTGTAGCATCAACTAAATAAGGTACCTATAAAGTACCAAGTTGCATGATCCTCCAAGTACGGGATTCCCACAAGCTGCATACGTCTGACAACTATACCCATAATGAAAGTCGCTTGCAACCTTACATACTGGGTCTCGGGGTCCTCCAAGTAAACCCTAAACCCTTCTAGTACCCCTATAGATTTGGTACAGGGACCCTTCAAGGAACCCTTGCTAGGTCCCAAGATTCTCCAAGTATAGCACTCGTGTGTCGACATGTTAACGGAGGCCTCTGTGGCCGGGTTCTTTCTGATTTTGTTGAAGCTGTGCCCACTCTTCTTTTTGACACCTCGGTGGCTGAGGGTGAAGAGTGGCCTACAGTATACATACATAGGACTAGGCCCAGGGTTTAGGATTTAGGTTGAAGGATTTGGGTGTAGGTTTAAGATTCGGAATGCTGGGCTGCAGTGTTCAGTGCGCGGTGATGGGTCTTGCGGCCTAGTTCTGGAGATTGAATGTCTGGTCTATGAACCCCTCTGAATATAGGGTATAGACCGCACAGTTACAAAAGTAATTTAATTGTCCATGTACCCGAATAGTACATACTTTGAGCCCAATGTACCCTTACAGGGAGTACTGTGAGTCCAATGTGCATACAAAATGAGTACATGGACCCCTTGGGGTAGTTTTTCGCATCCCCGGGTTGGGTCTACAAGGGATTGGGGATTTGTGGTTTTCGGACGTGGGTTTCGAACAGGCTTTAGGGTCTTCTTGGGTTCCGGGATCCAAAAAACATACTATTCTTGGGGGGCGGGATGGGGGGGGGGTTCTGCAACACACTGCAGGGGTCGTAACCTGGAATCTTGTAGGGTTTGGAGTTGCAGAGTTACAGGGGGGGGTTAGAGCTCAGGGGTTCTATAGGGTTTAGAGATGAGGGGTTCTATGGTTTAGAGTTGAGCGACATTCGTGGCAAGTCGGCTAACCTGAGGTAAAACCTGGGTACTGCCCCCAGACAGTCACAGTCTATGATGAGGGAACAGCCAAGGACTGCAGATACATATACCAATGTTGAAAGAGATGTCACCAAACTGCTTCTGAGTGAGGGAAGTATCCAAAGCGAATGATAAATCTGAACCCAACAGCACTTGAAAGCTTCGTGCTTAAAAGTCATGATGCTTTAGAGGTGTGTGGTCAGGGGTTTAGGGGCCAGGGTTGCAAAAGCTGGGTTTACTTAAGGCATGAGTCCGGAGGGTCAAAGTTGCCCGAAACCCCTGTCTACTTGGAGGGTCGGGGACTTAGTGATTCGAAAGTGTAAAACTAAAGATTCAACGCTCAAAGAAACACACAAAACCCTGTGGCAGCCCGTATGAAACCACATTCATAACCGACAGAAACCCCTTTCCAGAATCGCCACCCCAAACTCTAAACCCTAAACCCTGAACCGCCGATGCTCAGGGCGGGCTGCTCCCCTCGAAATGCCAATTCAGTGTCGAGGCCTCGGTGGCACGGTTGTCATAGAATAACACCCCAAGGGTCCACCAAAGGACCCAATAATTAGGTACTCGGTTTTTGGGTAGTAGTCAAGTAGGTTAGGATTTTGGAGAGTGTATGATTATTAGGTACTTGGACCCCTGGGGGAATAACACTGACAGGTATGAATGGTCTTTTTCAGTGGGCATAACTATAGACTATAGGGTTTAGGGCCGGGTAAATTGGGTTTGACTAAGTGTCGGCTTTTGAAAGTATATTTGGAGTTGCGTTGCGTAAAATCTGGGCAAATACGAAGTTCATATAAAGCCTTTAAAGGTTCATTTTGGGTTTAGGGTTTACCTCGGTGCCTAGAGTTCTTGCTTGTGCCTTGCAGCAAGGTGGTAAGGTGTTTTGAGCCCTAAACCCTGAACCCTCAATGGTGAGGGCACGGTTTAGGCTTTCGGGCTTTGAGTTTAGGGTTCAGGGTTTTTTGGTTTTTGGGTTTAGGGTTTAGGTCAGGTCCTAGTTATAAGGGAAACTCATGCAAAGACAGGTTTAGCGTTCGCCTGAGCCTCGGAATCGCCCAAACTCCCAAGACCTTCAAAAGAAGCAGAAACACACCTTCTTAACACCTATATAACCCTTACCCTAAGGCTCAAAATGGCCCAAAAGCCTCATATAATATGGTCTTTAAGCCCAAAAGCCTTGAAATATGAGTCCTTAGAGCCTTAGGGTTGGGCTCTAACGACTGATATTTTTAAGGCTTCTGTGCCCAAATGCCATACTTTTCAAGGCTTCTGGGCTATAATGAGCCTTAGGGTAAGACAACCACAAGAGGGCAACCCACCAAAAAACAGGTGTTAGGGTAATGTAGGGGCCTTATTAGAATAATAGGTACAATAGGGAGCCCCAAAATAGTGTTGGTAATTATTTAGGCCCCTATACTATACGGCTTAGTTTAGGGCTCAAGGATCTGTGAAGTTGAGGCATGGATTCAGACCCGAGAGCTTTTATGCGGGTGTGAGGCTTCAGGGCAGGGAGACTCGGGGCGAGAGTTTATCTTAACCCTGAAGAACCTACCCTTGAAGCGTTCCTTGGTATGACTTCCTCATACAAAATAGATATTACAGGATAGCTTGGTCGGTGCGAGTCTGCTGTGTGCGTGTGTGTGTGTGCGTGTGTGTGCGTGTGTGTGCGTGTGTGTGCGTGTGTGTGTGTGTGCGCGTGTGTGCGTGTGTGTGTGTGTGTGCGCGTGTGTGCGCGTGTGTGCGCGTGTGTGTGCGGGTGTGCGGGTGCGTGTGCATGGGTGTGTGTGTGTGTGTGTGTGTGTGTGCGTGTGTGTGTGTGCGCGTGTGTGCGCGCGTGTGTGCGTGTGTGTGTGTGTGTGTGTGTGTGTGTGTGTGTGTGTGTGTGTGTGTGTGTGTGTGTGTGTGCGCGTGTGTGCGCGTGTGTGCGCGTGTGTGCGCGTGTGTGTGCGGGTGTGCGGGTGCGTGTGCATGGGTGTGTGTGTGTGTGTGTGTGTGTGTGTGTGTGTGTGTGTGTGTGTGTGTGTTTTCAACAGGTGGCTAAACTCCTATATCCCCCAACCCTAACTCCTACAACCTTAATACTTTCATCCCTACAATCCTAAACCCTAAACTCTACAACCCTAAACCCCTACGACCACGACACTAAATCCTAAACCTAAACCCTAGTTTGTGGGATAATTACAGTATAATGGGCCCTACTCTGATTACTAAGGCCCCTATACTAAACCTT